GACGACCAATGATGGCCCGTTTTGGTGCCAGGCACTTATATGTGTCGAAGAAGGACGATTAGATTATCTAATTACGAAGGATACTAACGTTGATGTCAATCTCGGTAAAAAAAATGGGTAAAAATGCAGCTACAGGGCACCTTTAGATTAGTATTTCTATCATCACAGATAGACGTTTTCAAGAATAATCTGTTATGTGGCCACAGTATGAAACATAACACTCTTGCCCAATTTTCCTATTTATCTATTTTTGCGCTTTATTCCCTTCCACACACACGCAAACCTGTCCTTGGTGCTGAACACCTCCCACACACAGGAAAGTCAATTTACTAGCTAGCTTAACTAATCTCTCCATTTAACTCAATAATCAAAGCAGTTACTGTTACAGTTACAGTGGAAGTAAAGCACAGGGAATTTTGTCATTTGGCGACTTGAGAATGATATAATGATATTACAATTATGCAAATATGGATGTAGTTTGCATAATTGAAATTCTATAAATCAGCTGCATTCCATGACAGGGCTATGTGAAATATGTCAAGCTTGTGACATACAGTATGTAATTAAGAATGAGAGTAACACAGGCAGATATCAATTATGCAAATGACGACCTAATTTGCATAATTAATAAGAAAATGTTATAATTCCATAGTGTTAACTGCTTGGAATTTCATACTTGGGGTATTTATTTAAACATAACTTATTCAAACAAGAAGCCATAGGTGACAATTCTCCGTGAAGTATTATATATTGCAACAAAAAGAAGTAGCCATTGGCGACAATTCTCTGTGAAGAAAATAAATCGAACAAAGAAAAATTGTTTAAACGCACGTCGGCTCAGTCATCTTAAGTCGCAACAACCAATCAGAGATGCAAAATGCCGACACGTGACGCGGGATTTGGGGAAGGGCGCGCGATGCCCGAAATATTTTTGCGTCAATATTCAGCGCCGTGTTTCAAGAGATTAATACCGAGAAACAAATTCTTTTCTTGTTTTGAACGCATAAACATGCATTTACGCTAATCTAGTATGATTCAGGGTTACTTTTTTTTACCTGCCATGGCCAGATTATCTAAAGATGTATGTATTGTGTGTACAATCTACAGAAAGAGAAATGTACATCAGGTCCGATCATCCGATTTCCACGTTTCGGTTTTTTGGACTCGGTTCATGAACGTATTTTGGTTTGGCTCCTGGAATGTGCGAAAAAAATGACTCCCGGGACTGTCTACAGGGAACACGCGCACATTCGCGGTGTATCAGGACAGCGCGACTGGTCGGCATTAGCGCAGTCCCTGTAATTAGTAACAGTTGCACATCAATCCGGCCGAAAGCATGATTGTGTAACACAGGCTACTTCTTCATATACCGGCTCATACTACACGACGCCTTTACAACTAGCAAATCATAAAATTACCCGATCTACTAGTACTGTATGTGCGGTTTACCAGCCCCAGACCACATCCGACCACGAGGCAGAACACATTGATGGGTTGCTCAAAAATATTGTCCATGTTTACAAAGAGCTGCTCCACTAACACTATGGAGCGGCCCACCCAAAAATATTGGCCATGTATCGTTGCTAGGACGACCGGCCAGTTGCTACGTGACTAAATACACGCCGCCACTACATTGTAGGTCGCCACACCCGACCAGTTTGAAATCGATAGGATTACGTTATCGGTATTAACATTTCCTAATGTTGACCATCAGCCCCGCCGCGACTTACTACATAAACGGACGACAACATTTCAACGGCATGGGGATGTTTCGAAAATAACCATTTACTCCAATATCAAAACAGCTACGGTAAAAATAAAAAGACGTGCATCATCCCGGACATAATGCAACACCACATGCGAAATTACACAGAAATGCGACGTACGGAAGAATGCGTTTTGGCTGCGAACATCTTCCAAAAAACTTGGCATCTCTTAACC